AGTCTAGTGCTGCAGCGCCCCACGATTCCCAGGAACCGCTTCGCTCTGTCTCCAGCACGCCTGGCTCCAGGGCTCTTGCTTCTACGGCGCCTTGTCGCTTGCTGCTGGGAGCTTCATCCACGGGGTGCAGTGCATCCCACTTCTGACACCAGTGTGATGGCGCGTTGGGGTCCCCCGTCTCCTGCACCCCGAAATGGCACAAACAGACCGCACCAGCCGGTGGAGTAGAGGAAGTTTATTGCCTCTCCAGGATACAGCATAGCACAGATGTAATCTGGTCACAGAGCTGGGCTAGGATGCCTCAGGCCCCCTTGAGTTGGGGGGAGACTGGGCCCCTAAACTCCAGCTCCTCTCCCTAGGCTGTCTTCTCTATGCTCTCAGACAGCAACTCTAACTCTCTTCCAGCCCTGCCCCCCAGCCAGGGCAGCATCCACCTTCCTTTGTTCCTCTCCAAGGGGGGTGTCTGGCCACTGGTTTGCATAGTGACTCATCCTGGTTTGCTGGGTCGTGGTACCCACGGCAGCCAGTGGGGGTTACCCCAGAGCCAGCAGCATAGAAACCAGCCAGGTACCCCCACTACGTCACAGAGGGGCACTGGAACAGGGGCACTGCCTGCTGATGGCCGGGGGAGGGGTCAGGCTGGGGACTCGTGAGGGGCTGTCAGAGCCATTGGCACCTGCTGGACTTGGCTCCCAGCCTCATCTCCCACCATGGCAGTGGGCACCAGCCCTGCTCTGGGCGTGCCCTGCCCTGTCTCTGCTCCGCGCCACCCTGGTCGCGTGCGATGGGGCAGGGCCATTAGCAGCATCAGGGAGAAATTGTGTGCGAAGGCGAGAGTGGGCGTGCGAATTACCCGTAATGAGTTTGTAATATGCATGTGCGGTGCTTCCTGCACGGCGTCATCACAATCACACAGGCACTTTCCTGCCTCATTGCCTCCCAAATGGATTTTAAATATCATTCCGAGGACACAATTATTTAAAACGCTGAACTAAACAGTCGCTAATGGGGAAGTGGCCCACACCAGCCCTCCCCCACAAGGGCTGCTCCCCCATGGCCTGGCCCCCTCCTGCTCTGCCCCAGGCCACTCGGCTCCCCTCTCCCACGGCACAGGCCGAGACAGGAAACTCTTCCAGGCACTGAGAAAACTCCTGCCATGCTGCAGCACACACACTGCACCACACCCCAGCTGTGCAGCCCGGTCCTCTCCGCCCCACCAGAGGGGGGCTCCAAGCCAGGGGGTGCAGTAGCCCCCCAACAGCCAGGCGCGTCCCTGCCCCTGCCTGCCCCACAGCAGAGATCAGAGAGCTGCAGGAAGAGCAGAGGGTGAGGAATGTTGCAAAGAGCCAGGCTGGGGCCTGAGGAGCCAGAGCCAAGGCAGGGAGCAGGGGCTAAGGCAGAGCTGCGCCCCAGGGCAGTGATCCTGATGGACAAAGG